TAGCAGGAGGCGGCAGCTTCAACTATAGAGGAGTCTGCATATGAAGCAAAGCAGGAGGCGACGGCGGCTTAAAGAAACAGGTACGTATTAATAATTTATTTTTTTGTTATATATAATATATAAAATGAAAGTCATAACTATTTCAATCGTATGAATGCATGTTAGTTTGCGTGTATTTGTATGCATACATGTATTTATGTACTTAAATATGTGTGCATGCTGAGCTGAGGCGAAAATGAACATTACCATAAATATCGCTCTACTATGCGATTCTCACTAATTCAAGTAAGCTGCCATTTAAAGCTAATAAACATTGTGTCTGCTTTTCTGTTCTTTCAGAGATGACGCCTTTAGCTGGATGACGATCAAATAAACGTGCAAGTGAATTTACAGGTGAGTACGCAAATATATATTCCTATATTATATTGAATATTATACTGACTATTATATATTATACTGAAGTAGACATGGAATTTAAGAAAGTTCTACCTAGATTTATATTTTCGAAGGGCGGGTACTGGGTAAGAAATTTAGTTCAACAATTGAAGCTCAAGACTTCTCACGGACTAGGCCGGGTAACACCCGCTATATTTATATACCCTGTAAATGAAAATCTTAAAATGTGCAGTCATGACGTATACGTTATATACTTAGTGCTGAAGAGTAAAAATAGGCAAGCTTGACTCCTTTGAAGTGAATGTAAACACTTTTGACAGTAAATAACATATTTTCATATTTAACAGCTGTTAACTAGCTGTTAGCATGCTGTTAACCCTAACTGTTAGAGCAAATGCGACTTTGCCTAAAGTATTCAATATATTCTTTTCACTTTTTCAAAGATTAGTATGAAAGCAACAAAATAAAACGTCCATGCCTTTCCGCCCCAATAATTACACTTCTTACAATGCCAAAAGTAAAAGTAAGCACTTTCGACTGTAGTTAACATATGTTCAGCTGCTGTTAACTAGCTGTGAACTAAATGTTAACAAATGCGGAGATCTCAATCATAATCATCTCCTCGTCTTAAATACTCAATATTTTCTTATCACTTTCCTCAAAAATTGAATGAAAGCCACATCAAAAAGTATTTATACCTTTCCCCGCGAAATTCTATTTTTAATAATACTGATTGTAGTTAACATATGTTCAGCTGCTGTTAACTGGCTGTCAATTAGCTCTTAACCAGCTGTCAAACGAACTGTTAACACGCTGTTAACTGTCGCTGTTAAAGCAGTCTCAATCATAAGCTAGCTACATTTATGGGCATTACGTGCTTATATAATAGCTCACCCATCAGGTAAATTGCGCATCTGTGTTTGGCAGGTGGGGAACACGTGTTGTTCGAGTTCAATGAACCCTTCTTAGAAATAACAACTCATCTATTGTCGATTGTTATGTAGCTCGGCTGGAAGTGAAAGCTTGCAAAGCTTCTGAGGCACCTGAACTTTTAGCCTATTCTCGCACCTCAAACTGAGAGTTATGCATGTCGTCAAGGTCGCACCTGTCGAACGATTCGTATGACATTATGGTATATTATACGAGACTATTACGAACGTGATTTTTCGACTTAACGATGCAGCTTTGTTCAAACAATTGTTTGCTTATCGGTTATTGCTCCGATTGTGCAAAAACTAGAAAACAAAACAAGTAAGAGGTTCTAGTCGGCAGCTCCCGACTAGGGACTACCCTAAACCCTCTTCTTCCAACATCAAATGCATATATATATATTCTATTTTAGAAGCTAGATGTCAAGTTTGTTGACTCTAGCTCTTATTATTTAACAAAATTGCCCAAAAAACAGGATATCGATATCGATTTTATCGATTTATCGGAGTAAGTTATCGATTATCGGAAAGAAACTCGATCTGCGCGGGAACTAGGAGCACCTACATCTTTCAAGTCTCTAGCTCTTATAGGTTATGCGATCCTTGCGTTCATACATACGGACGGACGGACGGACGGACGGACATGGCTAGATCGACTCGGCTATTGATGCTGATCAAGAATATATATACTTTAGGGGTTCGGAGAAGCCTCCTTCTGCCTGTTACATACATTTGGCTTTTGCACAAATACAATATACCCTTAAAAACTACAACAAATACGAGCGTGCTCTCTGCCGTCTGAGGTTGGCTGATAGATACCATGTAACTAGCTGGAAGCTGGCGTAACATCTATGACAAAATCTTTCTCAAATATGGAAATTATTATGGAAACGAGTTTTGGAACAAGTACTGAAAATGGGCATTAAAGGCTGCAGGCCTAAAGTCCTGAGCCTGCATGGCTAAGCTTACGAGCCTCGAACCACTAAGCGAAAGGTTGCTGGTTCTAATACAGCAGCAATGTCCATATATAACGTCATATTTATCAAAACATATATAGAAAGAATATATAAATATTCAATCTTATGGCTGACTTCTTTTGATAAAGCACAGTAAACGATTAGAACCAGCAACCTACTGCTTCTCGGTCCGACGCTCGAACAGCTTAAGCTCGCACGATGAGTACAGGGTATACAAATGTTATAGAGCCCTGACAAATTGGCCTGTTAAGGCAGATGTGGGTAGCTCAACGGTTGGATAATTGTTGTTAAGTAAAAAAAGAATAATATAAATGGAAAAATGAATTGAATTATATTGGTGAGAAGTTTCCCGCCGGGGCTAACTATGCATACAAGTGACTGGGCCGATCATCATCTGGGCAATACTCGACTCGCAGCTGTTCTGTCTATCGGTCAATGCACTAAATTTCTTATTATTTTTGTGCTGTTTTCTATTTTGTTGTTTTTTATACCCTGAACCCATTAAAAGTGGGTATAAGGGTATATTGTATTTGTGCGAAAGCAGGCAGAAGGAAGCATCTCCGACCCCATAAAGTATATATGTCGGAACAGAGAAATCACTTTCTTTGTAATTAGGCATACTGGCAGCACAGCAAGTCCCGAGTGTCGTTATAGTCACAAAATAATTATATTTTTAGGAGCGAGCACGTCTGTTCTCTATGACTTCCACTTTTAGAATGAATAATTTTCATCGTCCTCGAGCATACTACTCATGCTCTTGTCATTCTATATTCTTCTCTGACTTTTAGTACTGTTAGTGAACATTCAACACTATAGCAAACTGGACGTTATACAACACACTCGGGCCATGCTCGGCAGAGACTATCTTTTTTGTCTCACACCATGCTTTCAGTAGCAACCCTAATACAAGTAGGACAGTTATGTTAAATAGCAGTACCTTCTGTCAAATTCTCTGATTCTTACTAACACTTAATCGTTAGCATTCAAAATAATACTCACAATAATTTATTGGATACACGACATATATATTCTTGATCAGCATCAATAGCCGAGTCGATCTAGCCAAGTCCGTCTGTCTGTCCGTCCGTCCGTCTGTCCGTATTTCAAGGATCTCAGAACCTATAAGAGCTAGAGACTTGAAAGATGTAGGTGCTCCTGGTTTCCGCGCAGATCGAGTTGGTTTCCGATAATCGATAACTTACTCCGATAAATCGATAAAAATCGATATCGATAACCTGTTTTTTGGACAATTTTTTAAATAATAAGAGCTAGAGTCTCCACACTTGACATCTAGCTTCTCAAAATAGAATATATACATGCATTTGATGTTGGAAGCAGAGGGTTCAGGGTATGCCCTAGTCGGGAGCTGCCGACTAGAACCTCTTACTTGTTTTGTTTTTTATGACTGTGAAATGAATAAAAAGTTAATAACAATTTTCGAGCTGTAGTGGCTGCACTCGCATGTCTCAGATAAACGTCAGAGCACGCGGGAAATGCGGTTATCACGAGCTGCTCGATTAGAAAATATCAGTAATAGCTGCGTTACGGCCGTATAAATATGAAACGCATTGCGGCCAACGGCCACAATTGGCCATGGCATTGGTAAAGTTCCGGTTGCTGCTGCTACAGCTGCTCCTACTCGCATTGAGCCCAGGTCTGGTCGCCTTCAGCGGGCACGAGCTGCTCACCTGGCTGCAGCACAGCAATCTCGGCTACCAGGTGCTGCAGCTGGCGTCCAATAGCAGCAGCCGGCCGTCGGAGCTGCTCTGCGCCGACCAGGTGAGCCGGCTGCTACAGGCGGCGGATGCGCAGGCGCTGCCCGCGCTGCAAGGTAAGTCCAAGCTGAACATAAGACTTCTTGCATCTAATCTAAGCCTTGGCTTTGGGCTACTCTTAGTGCTGGATGCATGGGGCAAGCTGCCGCATGGCCTGCTCTATGGCCACTTTAGTGATTTGGGCAACTATGAGTCCTGTCTGAGTCGCAGTGCGGCCGTAATCCCGACCAAATACTGCCTGGCGCACATCGAATTTGAGAGCCTGTGGCCGCCGGCTCTGGACAGGATTAGCATAAATATTGGCGCCTGTTTGCCGGCCAGCTGCAGTGCAGCACAGCTGAATCGCTGGCTAAACAACTATCTGCGGTTGCTATTCGAGGATGCAGTTGCTCCGGAGGCACAGCTGGTCGGCGAATCCAACTGCGCCCTGGCCGCCAGCCAGCCCATGTCCACGCTCGACTGGTTTGCCCTGTAAGTCCAATCGATCCTATATAGTACATATATATATATATATATTGGTATTTGCCATGCAATCCTCACAGAGCTCTGCTCATCTTTCTGGCCGTGCTGGTGTTACTGTGCACGCTCTTGGACTACTTCAATGGTGAGTCTATTGCGCCTTATACTCTTGCATAAGCTCGACACAGATAAGATTCCGTTGATACAGCTGGCCTATCAAGGAATTCTTGACGTATATTTTATAGACGGGAACTATAACTAACTAATCTGAAGGAGCTGAGCTCTTATTAAGTTCGTCTCTCTTGCATCTCTCTCTCTCTCTCTCTCCCTCTCTCTATATCTTTCTATCTCTCGCTGTCTGGCCATCTCCTTCCAGCTATATGCTCGTCTCTATCTAAGTTTATGCAGCCCCGCCTATATATACCCTGTACCCATTGAACAGTTAAAAAGGGGGTATATTGGTT